TGTATGATTAATTTGTATGAGAAAATTGATGTTAAACTTTTATTTTGAAAGAAACTTGTTATTGTAAATTTGTTACCACAAAAACCCACGGGTACCCATGAACCCGTGGATACCCAGCGGGTTGGGTTGGGTTTGAGTTTTTCAAACCCAACGGGTTTTACCCCGGGTTTTTTTGGCGGATAAACCCATGGGTTTGGGTTTGGGTTTGACAAAACCCGCCCCAACCCGACCCATTGCCATCCCTACAAGAAATCCAAATGCAGTTATTTGTCGGTGGGATGGGGCTACGAAGCGCTATTCTCATTCGGCGGGAGGAATGGTCATCATGGACCAGGAAGGGAGAGTCTTCTTGGCGAAAGGGATGCAATTTGTTGCTATTGATGATCCTATGAGTGTTGAACTGCTTGTTCTTCGGGAGGCTATCCTCTAGTGTTTGGAATATGGCTTTCCAGTGGCTCGGTTCGAAGGCGACGCCAAGGTCATCATTTATTAGATTAGGTACGGTTCATAGGCAAGGAATTTTTTTTCCAATGATAGATTGGTAATTCAAAATAAATATTACAAGACTCGAAGAAATCAGACCTGTTAATATATGCTAATTGATCTGCCGGTAAAAGAACCATAATAGCCACTAGATGGGCAGCTCTGTTATAATTCAAAGAATAAAAGGACAAAACCTAAACACCTATTAAGAGACAACCACCACCAATGCTCGAAAACTTAATTTGATAAGTGAAACCTAACAACATATGTTTTCGATCATTTACATAAAGGTAATTAGATACTTTTCATTAGCAATAGTCACTTTTTATTTAAAAAAAATAAAGAATTTTGAAATTATTTTTGTGCAAAAACTACTCTATTCAATATCAATTTCTAAAATGACAACCTATTTTATAATATTAATGGATTATAAGCTCTCAATATTTTTTTTCAAATGATAGACCACCTCGCATAAAAATTGAACATTATTAATAATTTTACCACAATTGACAAGGATCATTATTATTTCATATTTAAATGGTAATTATAATAAATTTGAAAATGTGGTATGCAAAAATTTATTGTAAGTATATACATAACTCTTAAGCATGCTATTTACATTCTCTATGAGCATGCAACTTGATTATTTATTCTTCTCCTCTACACTTCTCCATTCTATTCCACATCACATTGATGTGTTATTGTAACATTCAAGTGAATAGGTTGGTTTAAGTATATTTAGTATACCTAGTCAAATGAATAGTTTTTTATTTGACTTACCTATTAGTTGGCTTAGTTAGCAAAGTCGTAGTCATGATTTTGTTTAATGTGGGTCCAACGTAAATAAAATTATATGTTAATTTTTATGACTTCTTTAAATACGACTTGAATTCATTTTTTTAAAAAATTAATCCATTATCATCCCAACAGTAAAGAGTGTAACCACAATGTACCCATTGAAAATTCATTCATAGTTTCTGATGGACCTAATATTCACCTACTTCGACCTGCCTATTGAAATACCATATTACTTCAGTTATAGTTAAGAATTTATTATATAATTAATATATTATATCTTATTATATTCTATAAAAATATTATTATTGTTTATCTTCAATTTCCTTCACTTTTTTTACTTTCATTCACTTTCCTTCACTTTTTCCTATTTCTTTCATTTCCTTCTTACATATTCACTCACTTACATACACATTCATGCATATACATTACTCCTTTCTCATTCTTTCATTTACTTACGTACATATAGTATATGCATGTATGTAGGAATTTATCATGTACATTCCTTTACCAATTTTCCATATACCCATACTCATTTATTTTCCATTACATACGTACACTTTCTAATATACCATAATTGTTGAGGAATGTTGGTGCATAACGAAGAATATTGACGAGTATCAGGGAATAACGTAGAATTGATACAATTCAGAATTTCCCCAATTCCAAACTTGAAGTGCTTGTCCAAGAAGCTAATCCAACTCAATTGAATTATGTGGAATTTTGGCTAAGTCCTTTGCCGAGTTCAGATAGGATACTTTGCGGACTTGGCCCTTCCGATTAGGTCGATGGAATTGTGAGTTTAGGAGCTTGTTTTGAAGCTCAAGTTCTCTTCTATGAGCCGGAGTGTTTGGCATCTCAAGGAGGTACTCGGAAGGTCATTTTTTCAGGCTCGACAAAAGGCTGTCTCGACACAGGAAAACTGTCAAAATCTGCCTAAGTATAAAATTGTGTTCGGCATAGGCTCATAGCTACTTTGAAGCTTCATTCCAGGAAGAAGGTTACGATTCGAGTATGGAGCTTCATACTACATGAAAGTATGCATTTTAACCTACAGAGAAGAGGTATTGGATGAGTTGTGGCGTACTTGGAAGTCATCGATCGAGAGCCTCAAAGATTGCGTCGATGACGGTTTGGTGACTTGGAGCTGAAGGCAGAGTTACTTTTCTTGTTTAATTCGGATTAGTATTACTTGTTTGTTTAAGCTGAGCTTTTCGAGTTTTATTGTAATGAGGAAGTTTTAGACGTTCATAGGCCTAGTTAGCTATTTAACCTTCGACAATTGCTTTGTAAGTTTCAGTTTTGAAATTTAATAAAGAACCCTAGTTCATAGATTTTTCATGCTCTTTGATTGTCTTTGTTGCTACTTGCGTGGATTCAAGTCCATCAACGAGCGAGCTCATCATCATTTGATTCACCACATCAATCGTGGACGAGTTGCTACCTATTTGGATCGAGCCTCTTCCCCTAATTGTGTGTTGAAGTTGCACCTTCCAACTCCACTCATTCCCCTGTTACTCTGTTTTCCTCAATACAAATTCGGTTTTCAACAGCAAGCTTGAGAAATCGAGAGGTTTTCCAGCTTCGATCAACAAGCCTCGCAGTTTGGGGATTATCAAGAATGTTGGTGAATGTTGACGTAGATCAAGGAATTCAACTACGACTTTTCCCTATAAATAGGGAGGCACCCCTCCCCCCTCTTTACAACATATAAGTCCCTCGACACAACACACAACACATTTCAAACCACTTCTGACCCCTCTCTCTCTCTCCCTCTCTCTAAAAAAATGTTTTCTCTCTCTCTCTTCCCGATCTACCAAAACGTGTTAAATCTCTAAGCACTCAACACACCCTCAATTTGGCGGACTAAACCATGGAATTGTGGAGAGTCTCCACATGGCGACATTAAATAGTCGACGACGCTCAAGTACGACTGTGAGACCGAACCAGGTCTAACGCCATCATATTTATTTTGTTTTATTCAGGTTACTAATTTGAGCGTTGGAGGAGGTTCCAACCAGGACCCCCCGGCGGGTAGGGGTGGGCAACCGGTTCGGTAAACCCGAACCGAACCGAAACCGAATTAAACCGAACCGAAACCGAACTAATGCTATTCGGTTCGGAATTCGGAAGGAAAATATGGATATTTCGGAAATCAGGGTTCTTTCAACCGAACCGAATTTCCGAATTTCCGACCGAAAAACCGAAATACTATAATTGCAAGCTCAAATGGTGGATTTTTATGTTTGTATTTATTTTTAGACTTAAATATTTGAAATGTTTTATGACTTATGTGTTGAAAAGTTTGATTTTATCATTAATGATGCATATAATTACATATTTGTTGTTTATATTAAGGATGAAAAATAATTTAAATGTGAGAAGATACAAGTAGCCTCTCAATTTCGGTTTTGTGTATAAAACCGAACCGAACCGAATTATAATTCGGTTTAAACCGACCGAACCGAATTTTAATTCGGTTCGAATTCGGTTTGGGGTTTGGGAGTATTCGGGGACCCGGTATTCATAATTTCGGTTCGGTCGAAACCGAACCGACCGAATGCCCACCCCTACCGGCGGGACCTTTTTTCAGGTATTCGCACGGAGTTGGAGGTGTTTAAAGACTTTGGAAAATTAGCGCTCTCCAAACCTTAAACATATTGAAGCAGGCTACTCTAAGCTTGCATCAACAATTAGCGCCCCACCGTGGGGCCTTTTTTCAGGTATTCGCACGGAGCTGGAGGTGGTTAAAGACTTTGGAAAATTAGCGCTCTCCGGACCTTAAACATATTGAAGCAGAGTGCTCTAACCTTGACATCAACAGTTTCATTACTCATTTGACATTGAAGTGTGTTCTTCACGTAGTTCCTAGTGAAAATGTTATGCCAAAACTTTTGTTGATTGGTAGTAGCAATACTAATTTATTCACAGAAAAAACTACTAATTTTAGAATTCGATACACTAATGAAAAAGTTCATGCATATGTACAAGTAAAAATGTAGATTAGAACACGAACCACAATTCATTGATACATAAGCTTCTTGACAATAAGAAAATGTGTGGATTTGAATTTAACTCGCAACACCGCAATACCATTATCTTGTATGATACACTATGGAACTTCGCCGATCTATTTTGTGTATTACAGTTCAACTTAAAGGTTTTCCAAAATACTGAAACATAAAACTTCTAGCACCTGCAAAGTGCAAACTGATGTTGTTTACATGAGTGGTTTTATAAAATGTATTATAAATAAGTGTAAAACTATCACATTTTAGATATGACTCATTCAAAACTAACTCATCTAAATATTTTTTAACAAACAACGAGACTATGCCTTAATGTTAAACAAATATTTACCAAAATATAAAAGTAAACAAATATAAATATTGAGATATGATGGAATGGAACCCTGTATAATGGAACGTAGACGGTGTGCGTATTATATATTTGACCCAGCGGGACAAAGACCAGTTTTGGTACCGAATTAATTAATACAAGTTACTGCGTTCAAAAACTGCGGCAGCGGGCGAACATCGGCACAGGCTGTGAGGTCCCATCCTAAGCCCAGCCCGGCCCGGCCCGGCCCGGCCCCAATAATTTTGATGATGACGATCCCCATGTCGTTATATTACCCAACTCAGGAGGGCAAATATGGAAATACGGCGGCCGAAATAACGCAAAGCAAGTAGGCTGAACGGAAAGTAGCAGACAGGGAGAGAAGAGAAGGGAAAACTAAACCCAAGCCAACGTCCCAACCCAAAGAAAGGAAGGAAGAAAGAAAGGGAGGGGAAGGAAGAGGGGAAAACTCTTTATCATCATTCTCTCTCTCCTCCTCTTCTCTTTCTCTCTCATCGGACAGAAGGGAAAACAAATAAACAAAATAAAAAATTAGAAAAGAGGGAAGAAAAGAAGGGAAGGTGGTGGTGGTGGGGGGAGAGCTGGAATCACATGGTCTTGTTCTTCCTCTTCTTGTCTCCTCCGTTCTCTCTCTCTCTCATCTCATCTTCTTCCTCTCCTTGGGTCACCACTACACAACTCTCTCTCTCTCTCTCTCCTCCAATGATCTCCCCTCTTAAAGCTATCCACTGATTGACTGCCGACTCCCTTCTCTCTCTCTCCCCCTCCCTCCATCTCGCCAGCCATGGCTGCTCCGGCCGACGATAAGGTATTCCCTCTCTCTCTCTCTCTATCTCTCTCCCAGCCCTGGCCGTTTAGTTTTCTCGCTTGAAAACAGCATTTCTCCATCTTCTCGCCTGAAAACAGCATTTCTCGCAACTGTCTGCTCAAAGTTCCCGATTCCAGAAGTTGCTTGTGTTTAGCGCTGATTACTCTTGTTACGACCTTTCTTGGTTAGGGTTCCAAATAGGAAATTCTTCCATACTCATCTGCATTTCTTTTGGTCTAGGTTCATCTGCTGGGAGTTTTTTCTTCTTCTGGATTTCTTCCCGTTTACTTCGATTTATTTTCTCTTTAGCTTACTAGGCTTCTTTTTCTGTTCACTCACCTATACTGGGTACGGAAGAAGAATTTTTTTTTTTAGATCTGCTTCGTCTGTAATCGCCTGGCAATCTCCGCCTTCACCTTTCCAGCCTCGAAGAAACCCTAATTCTCCTTTGGTTACTATTTCTGGGGTCAGTGGATCTAGATCTCCTTCGCTTCCTGCGGCTACTCGTATCTATTTGGCTCCAAGCAGGCTAATCTCCCCCCGGTTTTAGAATCTTTCAGCTTATCTTGGTCGCCTGAGATCTTATCTTTCAACTTCCCGGTGAACTGAGCTTTTCATCGCACTTGTTTCTCTATGGTTCAGGCTGGTTTTATATGTGGTTCCCGATCGCCAGATGGAGTTGGCTTTGCTTAAAACATATATTCAGCTAGATTCATCTTTAAGCTACCTGTGTTTCATTTTTTCCATTCCACTTTTGACCTCTTCCTGCTCTGCTGTTTTGTGTGTGGAAGGCTTACTTACCTTTGTATGCCAATTTATTCCTTGCGCTCTTGAAAAGGAAACTTCCCGTTATTGATGTATCGTTGCTGTTTCGTAGGAGATTTCTGCCCATGGCAACGATCCAGTCACCGGGCACATTATTTCGACCACAATTGGGGGTAAAAATGGAGAACCAAAGCAGGTAACTATTTGTAATTGGAGGAATTTATATGTGGGCTGAATATGTTGTTCTCCCCCTCTAGGAACTGACTGAGTTGGACCATTGTTTTTTGTTGTTACAGACCATCAGTTACATGGCAGAGCGTGTTGTAGGGACTGGATCGTTTGGTATTGTTTTCCAGGTATGCATATATATATAGATCTGTGAACTTGGAAGTATTAGATATACACAATGGGTTTAAAAGCTGACCTTTGATGGCTACGTTTAGGCTAAATGCTTGGAGACTGGGGAGACCGTGGCAATTAAGAAAGTTCTACAGGATAGAAGATACAAGAACCGTGAATTACAGCTGATGCGAGTGATGGATCACGTCAATGTGATTTCCTTGAAGCATTGCTTCTTCTCCACAACAAGCAACAATGAGCTGTTCCTCAACTTGGTCATGGAATATGTACCTGAAAGCATGTATCGGGTGCTAAAGCATTACAGCAATGCCAAACAGGCGATGCCACTTATTTATGTCAAACTTTACGCATACCAGGTATGTGTTGTGCGTCTATCTGAGGCTGTTCGGTTAAAAGAATAAGCTTTTTTTGATGTTAACTGTGAGACATGTTACAGATTTTCAGAGGATTGGCATATATTCACAATGTTACTGGAGTTTGTCACAGGGATTTGAAGCCTCAAAACGTTTTGGTATGCTTGCTGATTAGGCTATTTAGGTTCTCGTAGCTTATTATACCCACTAAATCATTGTGCCAGCGGATAGCAGTTTCTTATGTGCATGCATTATTTTCTGCCTGCAGGTTGATCCCCTCACTCACCAGGTGAAGCTTTGTGATTTTGGAAGTGCAAAAGTGCTGGTATGTTATTGCCGTCTTATTTTGTACTTCCAGTTTTCTTTAATAATTGCAACCCTTAAATCTTCCAAGTGTTTCCGTGTGAGTTGCTTGTTTTATGTTCTTATTATGGATTCTGTGGATTAACCTAATTCCATGTCTTCAGGTCAAAGGTGAAGCAAACATATCCTACATCTGCTCTCGATTCTATCGAGCTCCTGAGCTTATATTTGGAGCCACAGAGTACACTACATCAATTGATATTTGGTCAGCTGGCTGTGTTCTTGCTGAGCTTCTTCTTGGTCAGGTAAGCATTGCTTATGTGTGCATATATATACTTCTAGAAGGCGCTCCTTTTGGCACTTCGCCGTCTAGAATTTAGTCTCACCTCTTCTCATTATTCAAAACCTTTGCAGCCATTGTTTCCTGGAGAAAATGCGGTGGACCAGCTTGTTGAGATTATTAAGGTATACTTCTTTTCCATCTTACTCTAGCTAGAATTAGTATGCAAGTCTCACGTGCTAAAAGCAAGCTTTCTCATACATCTTTCCTGTTCTAGGTTCTGGGCACGCCGACTCGAGAAGAAATTCGCTGCATGAACCCTAATTATACTGATTTTAGGTTCCCCCAGATAAAAGCCCACCCTTGGCACAAGGTTTGTTCTTGGTTTCCCTAGCTATATTTATTACCTCTGTAATGTGCTGCATCTATCTGAGACTTGCTCAATGCTCCTTTGTCTTGGACACTTTGATCGTATGGTTTTGAAATACTTTTTGGGGCAGGTGTTCCACAAAAGGATGCCTCCAGAGGCAATTGATCTTACCTCTCGGCTGTTGCAATATTCGCCAAGTCTTCGCTGTACAGCTGTGAGTTCACTTTGATTTGGTCATATGATGTTGGAAGTATGTACATTGTATAGATCCTTAACAAGATTTTACTTTTGAGCCTGCAGTTGGAAGCATGTGCTCATCCTTTCTTTGATGAGCTTAGAGATCCTAATGTCCGCCTACCAAATGGCCGGCCTGTGCCAACTCTCTTCAATTTCAAGCAGGAGGTATGATCTTATGTAATTCTGAACTTGGATCCTGTGGCTGGTACCTTTTCCCTTGAATGCTTTCACTCATGATTCAATCATCTGTTTTCCTGTGTCCACACAGCTAAATGGGGCTTCTCCTGAACTGGTTAACAAGTTGATCCCAGATCACGTCAAGAGGCAAATGGGCTTAAACTTTATGGCCGGAACCTAATATGGATTAGGAGCGGGGCGGTGAAATGAATTCAATAGTGTATCTGCCGGTGGTTTACCCCTGAGATAACACAGCGGGGGCTTATTATCTTCAATGTTTTGACAAATGATATGCACAGCTCTGCCTAACCCAGGACCACTTCTTCCCCCCTCCCTCCTAGACCTGAACAGGATCATCTGTGGACGCTCAGCTGAACGAAAGGAAAGCTAGTGATGTTTCATTCTTCTCCACGTTATTTCTTTTTCCGCGTCACATCTCCCTGTCATCATCTCCTCCTTTTTCACTTGTATGCTCTCTTCTGTTCTTTTTTCTTCTGTCTGTAAATGTCTGATAGTAAAAATAGCCTTGGAGGTGTTACTCTTTACATTATATAGCCTGGGCAGCAGCAGCAGCAGCAGCTGAGGTAAAACAAAAAGCTTTTGAGAGAGGAAGTGTACTTGTAACTAGGATGAGAAAAGGCCTCTGAATTTTGGGATGGCCCTCGGGAGGTGGTGGAAGAAGAAGGGATTGGTCATTGGTGGGTGTGTTGGGGTGGCGGGTGTTCCTTTGTTTTGGTATTTTGTGCTTCTTTCCTGCATTGTCGTTGTTCCTATCTTTTGTTCTTCTGTCAAGTGACTTGATAATATGCAACAATTTGTCACTACGTCTTGTCCCCAAAAGTGTAATGAATCATTATTATTGTTTCTACTTGTGTTCTTAGGTTTAGTAGCTGTTTTTCTGTTTCCTTGATGATCTATGCTGTGCAGTACATAGACTGGCTTGCAAAAGTAGCAGCTTGGGGACAGGGTTGGTGTACTTCGAAATGGAGACTTTTTTGAATGGGTCATTTCGTCCCGAGTTTTCCCGCTATGTGGCGGGAATTTCAAGGTAGTGGGTGGCTTGCTGTTGCTGTTGGTGTTGAAATCCTCAATGGCGTTGATTCCTGCAACAAGGCAAGGCTGTGGGCTGTGGAGTCGAGTGGAGGGGTCAAAGTAGTGGAAATCGGCGGGTCGTAAAGCAAGCAATCAATCAATCAGCAGCTTGGGGGCCGGTAAAGCAATTAAATTCAATTGAATGATAGAGAATTGAATTCATAGGGTTAAGTTAGTGGCGGAACTAGAGACAAGCAGACCATCTCTGTCATTTGCCCGAATCTCTAGACTTTCTTGAGCTCTTTTAACAAAAACCCTCAATCTTCATCATTGTTTAATCCATGAGATTAAACTAATCAATAATTAAGAAAGGGATGGGGCAGCTGCCTTCCACAGGGCAATTTTGAAGTCTTGACTAATGTGGAATGGTTCCCTTACGAGGCAATCCAAACAACAAAGTAGTAATAATAAAAAAAAGATTCCGGAAAATAGCAGTTGGAGTGTTGCGACGAGAAAGAACTCTGCTTTAACCTACTGCTTGTCCTGTTCTGTTCTGTTCTGTTCAGTTCAAATCAATTAATCAATAAAATGTCACATCACCACCTAAGACCGTCTCATCTGCTGCCGCTTCTGCTTCTTTCAATCGTTTCTGTCTGTCCGGCAATCTGGTTGGGCGGTAGCGGTATTAGTCAACGTCGAGCAGTGAAGATAATAATAATATTACCAACACCAAATCTCCCCTCCCTTTGATTCTTTCCCCTCTCCTCTCTTCTCTGCTCGCTGGCATGTGTAATGGCGGCTCTACTGCTGCTTCGTCTCTTGCTACTGTGGCTTCCTGCTCTCGCTTGGGCCTCCGACAGCAGTATTCTTTCTCCCAAAGGTGTCAACTTTGAAGGTGGTGTAGCTTAGTTGCTTTCATATATTATCCCCGAGATCAAATTACAGAGTTTGGCTCCTAAGTTTAACCCTGTACTGTGCTTTGTTTGTTCATTAGTGGCGGCGTTGATGGCGATGAAGAAAGAGATGAGGGACGAGTCAGGTGTAATGGCCGGCTGGGATTTGAACTCGGTTGATCCCTGCACTTGGAACATGGTTGGTTGCTCCCCAGAAGGCTTTGTCATTTCCCTGTAAGTATTGGTTTCTTTTTCTTTACCTTCTTTTGTTGTTGCACCTGATGGAGTATCTATCTAAGACATAAAAGGGTAAAAAAAGTTGTGTAACTTTTTCCTTTTTTTCAATAGGGAAATGGCAAGCACTGGTTTGGCAGGGACGTTATCCACCAGTATTGGCAACTTAGGTCACCTGAGGACAATGTAAAAAAGTTGCTTTTGACTTGTTATAATGTACTCTTTTGATGCTGTATTTTTTTTTTTCTTGGTCTCTTTTCCCCGGTCTGAAAGTTCAACTGCAGGCTATTGCAGAACAATCTGTTAACTGGGTCGATCCCAGCTGAGATAGGAAAGCTGCCTGAGCTTCAAACTCTTGACCTCTCAGGTAACCAATTTGAAGGCAACATCCCAAGCTCTTTGGGACAATTGACAAGGCTAAGTTACTTGTGAGTCTGGCCCTTTTCTTGTTTTGCTTCCTTTAATTACACATGAAGGGAATCAACAACATATTGTTTGATCACATTGACAACTGGGTCGACCACCTTACACCAGTCAATCGATCTACCAATTGTTGTGATCAGCAACCTTATCAATTAGGTTGACCATATGGCAAGCAATCGCAGCGACCATAATGACACAGATGATTGACCCGATTGCTTATACGATGCAAACAACCAGATTGATTGAGGGGGTCAAAGTGCAATGTGGTCGACCTGATTGTTAACATGGTCCACAAATATGTCGTTGATTTCGTAAAACATATCATTGTTTCTTATTTGTAGCAGTGAATGGCTTGTGGATTTTAAAACTTTTGATGTGCCAAGCTTTTCAGGCGCTTGAGTAGAAACAGGTTATCAGGACAAATTCCTGGACCGGTTGCCAATCTCACAGAACTGTCATTCTTGTATGAATCCCATTCCCATCTAGCTGCATTTTATTCCAAGTAGATGATATGAAAAAACTTTCCAGCAGACTTGTCTAACCATAACACTATGTGCAGGGACTTATCATATAATAATCTCAGTGGACCGACTCCAAGGATACTAGCTAAAGACTATAGGTACTAAAACTCTTCACTTGTCTACCTTTAAGTTTGGTGTAACACTCACAGCTATTTTGATGTAACATTCGAGTCCTTTTCTCACAGCATTGCTGGGAACAGCCTTCTCTGCGGTCCATCTCCAACAAAGGGCTGTTCAAGTGTTTCCAAGCCAATAAATGGTAATAATCTACTCGAAACTTGTTTCTGACTATCAGTGCTAAACGCTGCAAAAAGTGCTTAAACAAGTTTCCATGCAGCAACAGTTGGATCCCCCAAGGTCAACAATGGTCATCATCATTGGGTGATGTCAGTTGTATTGGGCTTCAGTTGTGCATTTGTAGTTTCACTGGTCCTGCTTGTTTGCTTGGTGTATTGGTATAGAACCCGTCTACTCTCTACTTCATGCGGTACCTCCCTTCCCCAAACTGGATTCTCCTTTCTTTGTTATCTTCATATAGAGAATGGCTATTAAGCATATATGATGTCTGATAACTTTTGTGCGTGGTTGTGCTTTGCAGTGCAGCAGGACTACGATTTTGAGATTGGTCATCTAAAGCGATTCTCATTTCGAGAGCTGCAAGTTGCTACAGGAAACTTTAGTAGAAGGAACGTGCTTGGTCAAGGTGGGTTTGGTGTTGTCTACAGAGGGTGTCTGCCAAACAAGACACTTGTGGCGGTCAAGAGGCTGAAGGATCCTAACTTCACTGGGGAAATGCAGTTCCAAACCGAGGTTGAAATGATCGGTTTGGCCTTGCATAGAAACCTATTGAGGTTGTATGGCTTCTGTATGACTCCCGAGGAGAGGATGCTTGTTTATCCTTACATGCCAAATGGAAGTGTTGCTGACCGCCTGAGAGGTCTGTCCTCGAACAAAACTCCCTCTCATTTATGTTCCTGCCCAATTGCTTTTAGAACGTAATTATGGGTTAAAGTGCTATATTTGAACTATTTACCCAAGTTCGTTCAGAGACCCATCTTGTGTTCTTTTTACCCTTTGATTCATATATCCTTAGCTTTGGCTTTCTTCTGTGTGGTCCAGAGACTGGTGGGGAAATCCCATGTTTGAACTGGAACAGGAGACTCCGAATCGCCCTTGGTGCAGCTCGTGGACTGCTCTACTTGCACGAGCAGTGCAATCCTCGTATAATCCACAGAGACGTTAAAGCTGCAAACATACTACTCGACGAGAGCTTCGAAGCTGTGGTTGGAGATTTCGGACTTGCCAAGCTGTTGGATCGAAGGGATTCCCATGTCACCACAGCAGTACGTGGCACAATTGGTCACATTGCTCCGGAGTATCTCTCAACCGGCCAATCCTCTGAAAAAACCGATGTCTTTGGGTTTGGGATACTGCTTCTGGAGCTCATAACAGGCCAAAAGGCACTGGATGCTGGAAATGGCCAGGACCAGAAAGGAATGATCCTTGACTGGGTAAAACAATGCGGCTTTTGGCTCAAGTTTATCTTCTTTTTTACTTCTTGTTTCAAGCAAACTCATTAAGGATTCTAATGACCAACTCCATGACTGCTACATTATGCAGGTGAAAACCTTACATGAGGAGAAGAAGTTGGAAATGCTGATTGATAAGGATTTGAAGGGATGTTTCGATCCATTGGAGTTAGAACAGGCCATCGAATTGGCGCTGCAATGCACTCAATCGCATCCTACTCTACGTCCGAAGATGTCAGAAGTCTTGAAGGTACTTGAAGGCCTCGTAGGACACTCGGATGTCGAGGAGGCACAAGCTGGAGGGTCGAACATGTACGAGGCAAGGCCTTTCAGTTTCTCTAGGCAGCAGCATAGTGGTATCCATGAAGCATCTTCGTTTATCATTGAAGCAATGGAGCTTTCAGGACCAAGATGACTCAGGTGACACATTTTGTTTTCCCCTCCGTTTTTCTTAGATAGAGATGTAAATGAATTTTTTCTGCAGTAATAGCAATCCTTGTCGCTTGCGGATTGCCGTGTACAAAATGGTCGCAGGTCAAAGGATTGTTAGGGAAAGTTGCAATTGAAACACTGTAGTTTTCAGCATATAATGTTTGATAAAATCAGGCATATGGTCAAAGGAAACCTTGCGCTGGCAGACAGTTCAATTCCCTTTTCTTCTCTGAAGCACCTTAATCATTTCTCTAATAGAGGGTTTTTGCTCTGTCCAGGGTGTAATATAGCACCTTAATTAAGACCATCTCCATCCCTGCAATAGGTTAGCCATTTCATAAATGGACCCCACATCCGCATCACCAACTTTAGCAACTATTCAATTCAACCATTTCAAACCACCTACATCCCTGCAATAGGTTAGCAATTGCAATTGATGGGACCTATTACATATTCTTTTCCTTAACAATACATTTTATGTGTACAAAGTGGATAGAAAAGAAAGAAACAAAAAAGAAAGAATTTGAGTGCATGAATGTGTGGGTCCCAATTGCTTATGTGGCATTGCAAAGGGGATTGCTTATTTAGCAATCTTGCTAAATAAGAAAGAAGTGCTACATCCTTGCAATTGCTTAAAGCTATTGCCACATAGGATTCCACCCAATAAGCAATAGCAATAAGCAATTGGATGGAGATGGTCTTAGCTCCCACAAGGCACAAGCTCAAGCATCGGCTTTCTATTGGTAAATGGGGTATCGAATATATGGCTGATTCACATTAGTGTGTCAGTTGTTGACTAATACAGGTAAGCTTTCCAGTAAGAATAGTTGTTGTGATACATACTGTAACATGTACACATGCGCCAAATTTGGGTGAGATACGTTAAGAGTCGGTTCTAAATGATTTTTGTTTGTAAAGGGCAAAACTGAATGAAATTTTACTTATTAGTTCTCGTCAATACGAATGAATAAGGAAAAACTGGAAATTTTCCAATTATGCGTCTTACTCTTCCCCTGCTTCCTAATCCAAACGATCCAAAAGAAAACTTAAGAGTTGTTAGACTACTCTGCCTCCCTGCTCAGCTTCAGCTTCAGCTTCTTTCCACTAAAAACTACTACATTTTCTGCTTTGCTTTGGATTCCAATCAGTCCTCACATTCACATGCTTAGAAGTGATATTCCATCTTTTAAAGCGGTGCTGCAAAATTTAAAATTCAATTATGCATGTTAAAAAACTCAAATTAGACAGCAGAGCATGAGTAGAGAAGCCAAGCACTTAATGTAATGTAATGCAATGCCTAAGAGGCACGTTA